ACAATGCAAAGTACAGAGGACTGACACAGAACTTTGTGGACTGGTGTCAGCGAAATCACCTCCTGATCAACGCGGGAAAGACCAAGGAGACGGTGATCGATTTTCGCAGACGGCGGTCTGCCCTCCCGCCTCCGATGAACATCCAGGGAATGGTCCTTGAGAGAGTGGCCACTTATAAGTACCTGGGTGTTCACCTGAACAACAAACTGGCCTGGACTCACAACACAGATGCTGTGTACAAGAGGGGTCAGAGCAGGCAGTACTTCCTGAGGAGACTGAGGTCCTTTGGAGTGACAGGGCCCCTCCTAAAGACTTTTTATGACTGTGTGGTCGCGTCAGCCATCCTCTACGCTGTGGTCTGCTGGAGCAGCAGCATCACTGAGAGGGACAGAAAAAAGTTGGACAAGGTGATAAAGAAATCTAGTTGTGTCCTGGGCTGTCCTCTGGACTCAGTGAGGGAGGTGGGAGACAGAAGGGTCCTGGCTAAACTGACAGCTATGCTGGACCCCTGCACTACACCCTGTCAGCCCTGGAGAGCAGTTTCAGTGACAGGCTGCTCCATCTTCACTGTGTGAAGGAGAGATACCGCAGATCTTTCCTTCCAGCGGCCGTCAGACACCGTTGACTGTGCAACATATCCCATGTGCCATTATTACATCTGTGCATAATTTTCATTTTCATTTGTGCAATTATCATAAGTGCAATTTTACTAATTCATGTGCAGTTATTGAATAATACAGTTTGCTATATCTGACTTATGTGCATTACCCTTCTACAACACTTTTATACTACCAGTATTTACTTATGCTGCAGGAGACTGTACTGTATAAGGCATAGTCCTTTAGTCTTATGTAATGTACAGTAACTTTGTTTTTTTATTTATTTACTGTAAGAATGGTACTTTCTTGTCTGACACTTGTTTATGCTGCTTTGTACACTTATCTATCTCTGCTCTTGTCTTTGCTGTTGCAAACTGCAATTTCCCCACTGTGGGACAAATAGAGGTTTTCTTATCTTATCTTATCTTATTTTTTCTGTATATGGCTTTAATTCTATTTCTCTTTACAGTAAATGTTTATTTTGCATGAAGGAAGATTGTCAACATCATGGATATTATTAATATTAATTTGATCAACAAATGGAGTTACTGTTGTGAATGTTCACAAAAGTATACATTTGTGTCTTTACTGTAGCATGTAAACAGAGCAACAGGTGACAGTGACCAGTGTGAATCAAGCATATGTAACTATTCCAGATACTTAGGACAGATTATGTGAGATGCACAAACAGAGGGATAAGTTTGGGAACATGGGGCATCACTCCTTTGAAGATTTTTACCAATTTTCTTGTTTGGGACAATGTACGTTTCCACCATGCTGTTCTGGTTCGGAACTGGTTCACGAATGATCCAAGACTCACAAATGTGTTCCTTCCACACTACTCCCCTTTCCTCAATCCGATATAGGAGATCTTTCCAGCTTGGCAGTGGAAGGTGTATGACAGATCAACCTTCTCAAAGCCATGAGGAAGCTTGTGGGGAGATTGCTGTGGAGTCCTGTTAGGGATGGGATAGGTATTCCAGAGCATTTCCCCCCACGCTGTTTGGCTAGTGAAAACATAGCCTGTGATGTTGATGAAAATCTATGGCCTGATTCTGGTCGGAGACAAAATGCTGACCCAAAATTATCTGTAATTGCTATTACAGTACTGTAGCGTACTCTAACACTCTTTATCTATGTGAAAATGCTCTCTGATTCTTTGTTTGTTTTCATAGCCTTCTTTGTTTTCTGCAAATTTTATTTTGGCAAAATTGTTTGGTGACTGAATTCATTTCAGATCAATTAAATCTTTACTTTCCCAGGAGGGGACACACAAACAGTGTTCCGCTGCAGCTGACCGGTCGGCCAGCACGGTTGTGGATCATTATAAAACATTAGAAACTGAACAATGCCAGTATTTAGGGACATTAAACCCGTTTCATGTGTGACAAGTGCAACAGAGAAAGGGGTGAAAGAATGTCTATCTCCCTTGTTCTCCATTCTTCCTTTTACTTTACTTTTACTTTAGCTTGTTGGTTGACAGCTGACTTGAATACATAAGGTCCAGTGCAGCTGACCTGCCGCCCAGTTGTGCATAACTCAGTACCGCAGCGTTACTCGGATTCGTAATAATGTTTTGGAAATAGTAATCCTTTACACTACTAGTTACTGGGAAAATGAGTAAATGTAAAATGAGAAAAGTAATATTAGTACAGTTCCTGCCCAACGGTGCTAACAGTAGGCCTAGCTATGAAATTAGTTTTAATTTAATGTTAGAATATTATACTAATAGAAATAATTTATACTCTACAGATTCTGTGCAACCAAAATAACCGTAAAGATTTTTTAAACAATTAATTAATACTGACAAATTAAACTCAGCAACAGTTAACTACTTTCTTCAAGATTTAACTGAAAACACTAGAATAAAGACTTAATTTAGGGAAACACTTTTAACACCCTCCCTCCTAAATAAACACGAGCCTACAGCTCCACATTTCCCGAGCACACAGTTCCACACTGCTGTCTCCCCATAACTGGTCCACTGACCCCGTGGCACAATTATTCTGCCCTTTGAACACAATAAGCAGAGGTGTGCTTGTGCATGTGTGAGTCGTAGTAAAAATGACTACCACAGAGCCTTTCTATGACACTGAATAAGAACAGTTAATGGATCTAATTTATCCGCTCCAGCAGACAAAGAATGAGTGACTTAGTTTCACAAAAAGCATCTTTAAAGCAAGACTGTGTAACTTTGAAGAGATCAAATAACAGTGTTCCTCTTACAAATGAAAAGCTGAACTCAGAAGCAATAAAACACATTCATGCTCAGCCCAACCTACTCAGGAGTTTTGCCGTTTACTTGGTCTGTATGAACAGTGTATGAAACAATTTGCCATAGCTACACTGTCACACCTGACACCGCAGTGCTCTCACTACAGTCCTTCCTCCTTTAAAACAGTCTCTCTAATAAGCCTCAAAAGAAACCTCTTTTAGAAAAGTCTTCAAGAAAAAACTTGGTAATAGTTGCTGCCCTGCTGGCTTAGCAAGACTGACTAGAGAGATGCACTGCAGCTAACACATTAACTTAAAATGAGGCCTACTGTTATTGTTACTGTTACTGCTGACTTCAGACTTTGAGAGGAGAGAACACAACTTTACCTGAATGCTATTCCCGCAATTCACTCTCATTGAGTTTTTTTCTCTTCTCATGCCTAGGATAGTTTCTCTTTTTATCCCTTAACGAAAACAATAAGTGCGTTTTGAAATGACGGCGCCTGACTTTCGCCAACTTAATAGTCAAAATGAGCTGCAGGCATGGTATAAAAACCCCGCTGTCAAGTCAGACACATTCTACCTGTGTGTGCTTACTGTGAGCTTAGAAAAATGACTGATCAGGCAAAAGGTGGTTCCAACCTTGTGCAGCCGGAGAAAAGCAACTGCAGCCACCTTGCTCCTGGGACCCACGAGGTTTTAATGTCATGTGACATGATGACGTTTAGCAGCACCGGCGAAAGTCGGACAAAATTTCTAACCAGCATGCATCACGTTAAGTTAGCGCTGCGCTGCATGAAGTCAAATGCACCTACTGACACTTGCTTTGACCTCTGACACAAGAGTGAGGCGGGGCCCTGCTTATGAGGGGCCCTACGAAACATCACGGACAGTCAGTTGGCTGACTTTTTGACTCTTCTGCACTTGTGCTACTGTTTCAATAGCTTAGCTTTTTAGCTAATTTAGCATTATCCCATAACTGTCCACAGAAGCCTACTGCTGTTGAGCAATAGTTACATTGTGTCCCTTTAAAGTGGAAAGCCACTCTCACAATATTTTAATATTATTCTTATAATCTTAAATGGATTATTTAATATTTGTGAGCAAAAACTACTCCTGAAATGCAAGAATCTCAACAATAATACATGTAGACTTAAGCAACCCTTCCTGTGTAATGAAAAGACCTCTTCAGCTATTAGATTTGCACCAACATAAAATGAAACTTTAATGCTTAAGTAAGTTTTCAGTTTAAATAAATTAGAGAATCAGCCTGGGTTGCTACCAGTGTACAAAACTGGGTACATTTTCATTCAGGGAAGTGTTGGCGATAGCAAAGGATTATTAGAGTCTGTCTTTAAAGGTGATTGTTTTGCAGAGTTAAGGACTAAGCTGCTCATAGGACATTAAAAATGGGTTTTTACCAGAGCTCTACTGTAATATATGCTGCAGAATATATAAATGCTGAAAATATATAGGGCCACATTATTAATTTAAAATTATCTATATATCTATTGAAACGAAAACATCTTAGTCTCATGACAAACGTGCATGAGGAGTGTTTTGGTAAAAGTTAACTAGGACTAGGAATAAAATCAAGGAAATAAAAGCCAATTAATAAATGTTCACTACTCATCAACAGTTCTTGAACTCTGGTCATAAATCCATAAAGCTGATTTCAGTTCCTTTTGTATTTGGCACTAAGCTTTTCATTGGGGGAAAAAAACACTAAATAAATCTTCATGTCACCATCTTACAGGAGTAGTTTTTTCATAGATCTAGTTAAATAGTAAACGTTTTTTGTGTCAAGAAAAGGAGCTTTTTCAGTAGCTTAGATTCATGTGAGTCTAATGTGCCTTCATAAAATGGCCCAGATTTTACCAAATATTTTGCTTTACAATTATACTAATCTCATTGGAGCATGTATGATCCAGCTGTCGATTTACACTTAATACATAAAATGGATCTACTGGGATCAGTTTTGTTCTATTGTAAGTCTTTAAAAGTATTTCAAAGCAAAAGAGAATAGGATATGTATTCCTCCCAAACATGTTAATCAGAAACATTTTGAAGGTGCTCTTCAAAGTGTTTCACATGTCTTTCAATATTATGTCCATTAAAGCTTTGTTAGCTATCCTAAAAATATCAAATAAACATTTTGTTCAATGTAAAATATGTCAATAGGCCCCAAAAGAACCATATATTTATGACAGTGTACAGAGGTGGGCTTTAAGACATGAAAAAGCAATAATTTTAGTGGAAAACCAAATGTATTTTGAACTTCAAAGACATAACAACATCTTTAACGATTAGATTTACTTATGAGAAAGTACAGTTTCAACCATTGTTAACAGTTAAATTACTTTAAATTTACTCTTTACTAAATCTATATATTTTCCTACAGGTCTCTAAGGAAAAAAAGTTTTACATTATTCAAAAGTAATAAAAGTATTTGACCCATCATTGAAATTATCTTTGTAAGTGTTCCACATTTAAGAAATTAAAGTTAATAAAATTACTTCTGTACATACATTTGCACATTTGTATCATTATCATGCAGGTTTAATGCATTACTACAGAGCAACTGGTGGAAATTCACAAAGTTAAATCAGACAAAACCTTTTCAGTTGCTAAGGACAACGTGTGCGAGATGCACAAACAAAAGTCATTGTCAGAGAACACTGATTATCGTTCCATTTCAAATGTTTGCCAAGGTTTTTGTGCACACAATGTTCACGTCCTCCAGCGTTGTCTGGTTGTCCTGCATCCCAAAACACAAAGTCAACTGCAGACCCATCAGACCACATCCATCGGCCTTCCTTCTGGGTGTCGCTGAGTCCAATCCAGGTAAATCCTTGAGCAGGGTCAAAGTTCTTGATCAGCGATTTGACAAAATTATGTTCCCCAAGACTGTGGATGGACACCAGGTTGGCTCTCTCTGACAAACAGTGGAGCTCTGCATCAGCCCAGGTCATACGTGTGGCGACATACTTGTAGCAACGGCCATTGAAGCTGTACCAGAACATGGGACAGTTGCCACGCCGTAGCCTCACTTGTTGGTCTTCTGAAGGAGATTCAGCAGCCAGAGCCAGACCAAACAAGAAGAGGAACAACAGCATTTTGACGTCAGAGTCGCTCTCTAAGTCTTTGAAGTACGAGGTCTTCCCGGCTGGATGTCGAGGATAAAAGACAGTTGCAAGGCCACTTTCTTTTATGTGCTTCAGAGAGGGTGTGTTGTTGTAGCTGTTGGTGTGATATTATTGGTCAAACATACTTTACAAACAACTTCAGTTGTTCTGAACATAAGCCAAGAAAGACTACAAGCTCACCTGTAGATGTCACATAAAACCTATAATTTATTAATTTCACTCAATCAGCATAGGTTGAGCTCAACTAGCACACACCCAGGTGGAAACACCAACAGTCATAATTGATAACACACCAATCAGAAGCTTCAATAGATAGGGAGATGGAAGAGGTAGAGAAGGAGGTGGAGTACGAGAATCTCTCTCTGGCCTGTCCAAAGACAAGATGCTGGGGCAGAATTAGTTGTTTGGTGTGTTGCACTATACAGTACACTAAGGAATAAAAAATCTCTTATTATTTTGAGTTCATCAAGTGAAAAGGTTTTGAGGGGGGAAACCATATGCAACATCACTAATAACCAGTTTTTGTAGTATTGTTTTGAATTTATTTCACCAGTGTGTAAAACTGCGTTGTAGTGTGTGTGATTTTGAGGGCTTAGTGTTATGTCTGAAGTTTTTTTTTTTTATTATTGAATGGTTTTGAGTGGAAAGCTTCATTTTGACCCGAAAATAAGATGTTTGGGGAATTGGGTGAGAAGTTGTGGATTTGTGTTTAGAGTTTCGAGAAAAAGAGGCATAACTTCAAGAAATGTGTTTAAGCAATCGAGAAAAACTGTAAGTGTTTTGACACATCCAAAGACACAAAATAAGTAGGGCCACTCTATTTGATAATAAGTTTCATCATTAGGTGAGATGATGAGACCTTTCACTTGATAGGTGTTGAATGTTAAATGCAACCAGGGGAGATGTGCATGAGAAGCGCTAGTCTAAAGATTAACCAGGACATTCAAATGAAAACAAGGAAATAAAAGACAAGCAATAAATGTTCACTGCTCATCAACTTAGTCTCTGGCACTAAAACTAAATGACTATATGGTACAGGCATATGTACCTCTGCTATCTATTGCATGGAAATTCCAGGATACTGCCAGTCCGACAGCTGTTCTTTCCTTGGGCCAAGTCACTAAATCCATAAAGCTGATGTCAGTTCATTTTATTTTGGCACTAAGCCTTTCATTGGAAAAACACTAAATAATTCTTGATACCACCGTGTTGCAGGAGTAGGTTTTTCATGGACCCAATTAAATCTGTTATGAAGGTGTTCTTCTTAATGTTTCGCATGTCTTTCGATGTGTCCATTATAGCTTGGTTGGCTTTTCTAAAGTGATGGAATAAACCTTTAATTCAATGTGAAACGATATATAGATATCGATATCGCATCAGCTATAGGTCCAAGAAGAACCATAGCCTGTGTTTAACTTAGTAAAGTTCACTTGGCAAAGTTAACACAGGGCAATGTAAAGTGATGGACTTGAAGATATGAACTAACCAATCTTTAAGTGGAAATCCAAAAGTATTTTGAACTTGTGTAAAAGGAATAATGTTATTATAATAAAACAATCCTTTTTATTCACAAGTAGAGTAATACATGACAAAACACCCTTTCTACTGATATTATTGTTAACAGTTAAATCAATTTTCTTCTGAATCTATGTATCATACACGCACACACAAAAAAAGCAACTCAACTAAAATATGTAAATCTAAATTAACCCACAGGGTGTAGAAATCTGTGGATGAAAAGTCTTCATGTGTCTTCATGTGACCCACATGAAATGTCTTCATGTGACCCACATGGGGAGGACATCACCGTCCTGTAGACACAGACTGTATCACGGACTACATTAACTTCTGCTACGAGAACACTGTGCCCACCAGGACTGTACGGTGCTTCTCAAACAACAAGCCGTGGATTAAACCTGACATCAAAGCTCTTTTAATGGAGAAGAGGAGAGCTTTCAGATCAGGGGACAAGGCTGAGCTGAACGCTGTACAGAAGAGGCTGAGGATGAAGATCAGAGAGGGGAAGGCCCGCTTCAAGAGGAAGCTAAAGAGACAGCTGGAACAGAGAGACATTAGGGGGGTGTGGAGCAGCTTGAAGACCATCTCAGGTTTTAAAGCACCCCCCACACAGGCCGAGGGGGACCTTAAGTGGCTGAATGATCTGAACCACCACTTCAACAGGTTTGATCAGTCAGCCACCCCTCCCCCTACGCAGCTGCACCCCACCTCCACACCACCGGGACAATGCACTTCCTCAGCCTTTCACACCTCCGGCTCACCTCACCTTTCACCCGCCCCATCCCCAGACGGACTTCTTCACGCCCCCCCTGCCCACCCCTGTCCTTCACAGCAGCACAGGTGAGACAGGCGCTAAGGAAGATCAAGGCGAGAAAAGCAACAGGTCCAGATGGCATCAGCTCCAGGCTCCTGAAGTCCTGCGCAGACCAGCTGTGTGGAGTTATGGAGTGGATCTTCAACCTGAGCCTGAAGCTGGAAGTGGTACCACAGCTGTGGAAGACCTCCTGTGTGGTGGAGAGACTGGTCCTGCAACACCTCCGCTCCACAGTGGGCCCCTCCATGGACCCACTGCAGTTTGACTATAAGCCCAACATCGGAATGGAGGACGCTGTCATCTTCCTGCAGCATCGTGCCCTCGCACACCTGGAGAAGCCCAGGAGCACTGTGAGAATCATGTTTTTCGATTTCTCAAGTGCTTTTAACACCATCCAGCCGACGCTTCTGAAGGACAAGCTGGAGAGGACTGGTGTGGACCACCTGCTGTCACAGCACGTGACGGTGTGTCTGACCGTCTCATGTGTAGTACGGGTGCCCCCCAGGGGACTGTCCTGGCCCCCTTCCTCTTCACCCTCTACATGGCAGACTTCAGACACAACACGGACAGCTGTGTTCTGGAGAAGTTCTCTGACGACTCTGCCATTGTCGGCCTCATCATTGATGATGACAATGCAAAGTACAGAGGACTGACACAGAACTTTGTGGACTGGTGTCAGCGAAATCACCTCCTGATCAACGCGGGAAAGACCAAGGAGACGGTGATCGATTTTCGCAGACGGCGGTCTGCCCTCCCGCCTCCGATGAACATCCAGGGAATGGTCCTTGAGAGAGTGGCCACTTATAAGTACCTGGGTGTTCACCTGAACAACAAACTGGCCTGGACTCACAACACAGATGCTGTGTACAAGAGGGGTCAGAGCAGGCAGTACTTCCTGAGGAGACTGAGGTCCTTTGGAGTGACAGGGCCCCTCCTAAAGACTTTTTATGACTGTGTGGTCGCGTCAGCCATCCTCTACGCTGTGGTCTGCTGGAGCAGCAGCATCACTGAGAGGGACAGAAAAAAGTTGGACAAGGTGATAAAGAAATCTAGTTGTGTCCTGGGCTGTCCTCTGGACTCAGTGAGGGAGGTGGGAGACAGAAGGGTCCTGGCTAAACTGACAGCTATGCTGGACCCCTGCACTACACCCTGTCAGCCCTGGAGAGCAGTTTCAGTGACAGGCTGCTCCATCTTCACTGTGTGAAGGAGAGATACCGCAGATCTTTCCTTCCAGCGGCCGTCAGACACCGTTGACTGTGCAACATATCCCATGTGCCATTATTACATCTGTGCATAATTTTCATTTTCATTTGTGCAATTATCATAAGTGCAATTTTACTAATTCATGTGCAGTTATTGAATAATACAGTTTGCTATATCTGACTTATGTGCATTACCCTTCTACAACACTTTTATACTACCAGTATTTACTTATGCTGCAGGAGACTGTACTGTATAAGGCATAGTCCTTTAGTCTTATGTAATGTACAGTAACTTTGTTTTTTTATTTATTTACTGTAAGAATGGTACTTTCTTGTCTGACACTTGTTTATGCTGCTTTGTACACTTATCTATCTCTGCTCTTGTCTTTGCTGTTGCAAACTGCAATTTCCCCACTGTGGGACAAATAGAGGTTTTCTTATCTTATCTTATCTTATTTTTTCTGTATATGGCTTTAATTCTATTTCTCTTTACAGTAAATGTTTATTTTGCATGAAGGAAGATTGTCAACATCATGGATATTATTAATATTAATTTGATCAACAAATGGAGTTACTGTTGTGAATGTTCACAAAAGTATACATTTGTGTCTTTACTGTAGCATGTAAACAGAGCAACAGGTGACAGTGACCAGTGTGAATCAAGCATATGTAACTATTCCAGATACTTAGGACAGATTATGTGAGATGCACAAACAGAGGGATAAGTTTGGGAACATGGGGCATCACTCCTTTGAAGATTTTTACCAATTTTCTTGTTTGGGACAATGTACGTTTCCACCATGCTGTTCTGGTTCGGAACTGGTTCACGAATGATCCAAGACTCACAAATGTGTTCCTTCCACACTACTCCCCTTTCCTCAATCCGATATAGGAGATCTTTCCAGCTTGGCAGTGGAAGGTGTATGACAGATCAACCTTCTCAAAGCCATGAGGAAGCTTGTGGGGAGATTGCTGTGGAGTCCTGTTAGGGATGGGATAGGTATTCCAGAGCATTTCCCCCCACGCTGTTTGGCTAGTGAAAACATAGCCTGTGATGTTGATGAAAATCTATGGCCTGATTCTGGTCGGAGACAAAATGCTGACCCAAAATTATCTGTAATTGCTATTACAGTACTGTAGCGTACTCTAACACTCTTTATCTATGTGAAAATGCTCTCTGATTCTTTGTTTGTTTTCATAGCCTTCTTTGTTTTCTGCAAATTTTATTTTGGCAAAATTGTTTGGTGACTGAATTCATTTCAGATCAATTAAATCTTTACTTTCCCAGGAGGGGACACACAAACAGTGTTCCGCTGCAGCTGACCGGTCGGCCAGCGCGGTTGTGGATCATTATAAAACATTAGAAACTGAACAATGCCAGTATTTAGGGACATTAAACCCGTTTCATGTGTGACAAGTGCAACAGAGAAAGGGGTGAAAGAATGTCTATCTCCCTTGTTCTCCATTCTTCCTTTTACTTTACTTTTACTTTAGCTTGTTG